TTTGCTGAAATATCTATTCAGATCTTTGACCATTTCTATTTATTTATTTATTCATTGCACCACGAGGCTTGTGGGATCTAAGTTCCAACCAGGGACTGAACCCATGGCCTTGGCAGTGAAAGTAAACACAGTATTAACTACTGGACAACCAGGGAATTCCCTGCCTATTTTTATTTGAGTTGTAAGTGCTTTTTGTATATTTTAGATATAAGTCCCTTATCAGGCATATTACTTTCAAAAATTTTCTGTGGGTTGTGTTTTCACTTTATTAATTGTATTGTTTAAATTTAAAAGTTTTCCATTTTGGTGAGGCCCCATTTTTCTATATTTCTTTTATTACTTGAACTTTTAGTGTCATACTGAAGAAATCATCGCTTAATCCAAGATCATGAAGAGTTACATCTTTATTTTCTCCTAAGAGTTTAATAGTTTTAACTCCTATATTTAGGACTTCATTTATTTTAAGTTCTGTATACGGTGTGGTGTGGGAGTCCAAATTCATTTTTTGCATGTGGATATCTAGTTGTCTCACCATCATTTGCTAAAAAGACTCTTCTTTAAGCACTAAATTTTCTTGGCATTCTGGCTGAAAACCAATTGATTGTAAATCTGAGGCTTTATTTATGTATTCTCAATTCTGTTGGTCTGTATGTCCTTCTGCCAGTGCCACATTGTCTTGATTCCTGTAGATCTATGGTTAAGTTTTGAAACTTGAAAGTGTGAGACCTCAAACTTTATCCTTATCTTTCAAGATTATTTTTGTCTATTCTGAGTTCATTGCATTTCTGTATGAATTTTGGCATCAGCTTGTCAAAATCTGCAGAGAAACCATCTGATATTTTGACAGAGGTTGTGTTGAGCCTGCAGATCAATTTAGGAAATATTGCCCATCTTAAAGATACGAAGTCTACCAACCTATGAAACATAGGATAACTTTCCATTTATTCATGTATTCTTTAATTTTGTTCAACAACATTTTATAGTTTTCAGTATAAAATTCTTGGACTTTCAAATTTTATTTCTAAGTATTTTATTCTTTTTGATGATATTTTAGATGGAAATGCTACTTTTCTTTCCTCTTTGAATTACTCATTGCTAGTATATAGAAACACACTCAATTTTTGTTTATTGATCTTGTATTTCTGCCACATTGCTGAACTCTTTCATTCTCATAGTTCTTTAGTGAATTCCTTGGGATTTTCTATATGTGTGATCATATCATTTGTAAATAGAGATAGTTTTACTTCTTCCCTTCCAATTTAGAAACTTTTCATTTTATTTTTCTTGCCTAATCTGAAAAGAATTTTGAGTGTTTGTCAGAAAATAAGGCTCTTCATCTTCTTTAACTATTTAAATAATTATACAAATTTACTTTCCATAATAACCTATACCTTACTACTGAACAGAAATGCTTCTTTATCATATACTAAAAACTTTTATACTTGGAGATGTTTTGTTCCTCTTACTGTCTTTATTTCAGTACTACAGTGAGTTAAGCTTGTAGCTTTATAAATCATTCTGCTTCACTGAAGTATGAGTTTTTCCATCAAGTATAAATGAAATCCACACCAGATAACACAAGGTAACTAGCACAGTGCCTAGCACATAGGTGGTATTCTCTAGAGCAAGGGTCCCCAACCCCCTGGGCCATGGACCAGTACTGGTCTGTGGCCTGTTAGGAATGGGCCGAACAGCAGGGGGTGAATAGCAGATGAGTGAGGGAATCTTCATTTGTACCTACAGCTGCTCCCCATAGCTCACATCACCGCCTGAGCTTCACCTCTGGTTACGTCAGTGGCGGCAGTAGATTCTCACAGGAGTGCAAACCCCACTGTGAACTGTGCATGAAAGAGATCTAGGTTGTGCCCTCCTTATGAGATTCACTCCCAAACCAGCCCCAGTCAGGGCCCATGGAAAAATTATCTTCCACAAAACCAGTCCCTGTTGCCAAAAAATTTGGGGACTGCTGCTCCACAGGTCAGTACCACATCCTGTGGTTATCCTTTGGGTCACACCATCCACAGTAATTTCAGGTTATGGATGGTTAATAATTATTTTTACTGCATTTTGAGCACCCAACATAAAAGGATTATTTTTCTAACCAAATGTCCAAAGATAACCAGGGTAAGCAAATATACTAAGAAGATTATGTAACCCTGGTTGATTCCTGGGTGGGGAAGACCCCCTGGCGAAGGGATAGGCAACTATATCTGTACTGATGGACAACTGTGATGTTCCTTTTTTTCCCATTGTAAACAAAGCCTATAGAATCACTACTGTAGCCCCAATTCCAGCAAAGGATAAATGCATAATAAATAATTGGTATGGGAATTTTAAAACATTAAAACACAAGATTCTATTTTAGCATTTTATTAATTATCTCCATGGGTAAATATTCAAGTTGGAATTGCTGAACCAAAATATCAAATATTTTTATTTTTAAACAATTTACAAAATTGCCCTGCAGAAAATTTTTACCAGTACACTCTACAAGAGCAGGGAGGGGTCGGGGGTGGGAGGGAGGTGGGAGAGGATAGCAGCAGGAATTTGGGGTTAGTAGATGTAAACTGATATATATAGAATGCATAAACAAGGTGCTACTGTATAGCACAGGGAACTATATTCAATACCCTGTGATAAACCATAATGGAAAAGAATATGAAGAAGAATGTACATGTATACATAACAGTCACTTTGGTGTATAGCAACAATTAACACAATGTTTTAATGCAACTATACTTCAATAAAAAAAATTTAGAAAAAAGAGCAGGGAGAAATGCATGTGTCCCCAATCTCTTACGTTTTTATGTAATCAAATCCATCAATCCTGTTCTTAATTGTTCAACTTTCAGTTATTATGTTTTTAAAGACCTTCTACACAAAAAGCTTATGTAGAAGCAGAAGCTAGTTATTAAGAGCTTGTTATAACAAGAGAGTTAACCACCCTAACTTGTGTTTGGCTGAGACTTAAAGACAGGCAGGGCAATGGGAAAACTTGAGAGTGAAAAAAACGAAAACCATATTTTCTCTGATTGGAAGTTGTTGGCAGTGAAATGCTGGTGAGCCAGAGGTATTTTATGTGATTGGTTTGGGGAGCATATTTAGATTTCTCTAGTTAGCAGCAGGGCAAAAATAGGAAGGCTGGTAGTCATTGATCAAGTCCAGAAGATTGCTGTAGAGGTTGTGGTTTGGCTTGTGGGGCTCCTTGCTACAGAGGTTGTGGGCTACAATTCTATTGTCATCTGGTCATCGTCCGTGTATTCAGTCTCTCACTTAAAAATCATTCTTTCATTTTGTTTCAAATATAAACTCATTTTCAGATCTAAATATTTAATTGATTAGAAAACTTATGTTTTGCATACCAGGAAAAAGGGACAATTTCACTTTGACGGTAACATTTTTTCCTAAAAGTGCAATATTCTACTCTTTGTACAATATTAAAGTTCACAGTCATAGGATTTCATTTGTAAGTCTATGTTCTTTCAATGGAATTTAAGAGCAAAGTTATACTCCTCCCCTAGACTGCCCAAACCATTAAAAAAAAAAAAAGCCTCTGAGGTTTTGTTTTGTTTTGGTGGCGCCAGGCAACATGTGGGATCTTAGTTCTCCCACCGCGGATAGAACCCGTGCCCGCTGCAGTGGAAGCGCGGAGTGCTAACCACTGGACTGCCAGGTAAGTCCCCACCTCTGTGATTTTTACTAAAATTATTTCTTTGACCAACTTCTCAAGAAGAGGAAAAGGACAAAAGGGCCCAGAGAGGTTAAGAGGCACCTGCCGGAGGGAGGCGGTGGGCGGCTAGCAGACGCCGGCTGGTGGGCGGGGTGCGGGGGCGGAGCTCGGGTGACGCGACGCTCACGTGACCGCTGGGCCCAGAAGTGGACACCGGTACGGGTACTGGCCCTCCCTCGGTGCTGTCGGACCCGGAGCCGTCTGCGAGCCCCTAGTTTTTGCTCCTGGTTCTTTCAGGTCAGTGTGAGGGTTCTCGTCGCCGCCTGTGGGACACCGGAATGGGGGAGGAGGAACGGGCGCGGAAAGGAGAAAGGTTGGGGATGGGGTTCTGGTCGAGGGGAGCTGGCCAGACTGTAGCTAGTGATGGCGGTGGGAAAACGGCTAAGGGGGAGCAAGCGGCCATTGGGCGGAGGGAGGGGAAAGCGGACACCCCAAGTACCCATTCCCCTTTCTCTACACATCCTCTTCTCTGCCTTCCGTCCATTTTGGAGCCGGAGATTGTGAGCTAGGGGGCGCCCCAGCAGTGAGGCAGTGGAAATAAATCCTCTCTGCCACTCTGTGCGTGGAGTAGAAAGTTGACCTCAAGGGTGGGGAGGCTAGTTGCCTTTGGGAGAGAAGGACGCAGAGATCCAAAATTAGTTTGGAAAACATCCTGGTCTGGCGCCCGAGGCGTGAAAAGAAATGGCGGCTGGGGTGCATGGGGCGGAGGAGGTGGAGGGAGGGAAACGTTGGGTGAGGAGGGCAGGGATTCTGGAAAGGGACCCGAGTCCCTGTGCATTCACCGATGCGCATCCCCGGTCTCCTGTCTGTCTGCAGGTCTACGTGTCTGTTGTTCCCAGCTCTCTACTGGGCTATAGAAAGAGGAGGAACCTGTCCAGAATCCCCGCAGGTCAGTGAAGGAGGAGGGCACTGGACAGGGACCCTGAGGGGTGGGGAGTGTGGAGGGACCGCCCGCGAAGAATTGGGGGCCCCACTGCCCACTTCCCAACACATTTACACACTGCCGCGCTGAGCAAGCATAGGGAAAAATGGCAGGGCCTGCCAGGGAAGTGTTGTCTCACGTGTGCACGAGGAATGGTGGGGTAAAGGGTGGGCAAAAGGCATTCTTGGAGGGCCAGGCCAGGTCAGGAGATCCCTGACAAACGGCAAGAAATGACTACTACTATTCGGACCTGCATTTCACCCCCAAAACCTCAGTCTCTCTTGTCTCGTCTTTGTCTTCTCTTCCCCCGCCCCACTCCCAGGACAGGAAAAGGAGGGGACACTCAACATGGAAAAACTCTGCAGTGAAAATGAAGCAAAGCCTGAGAACCAAGGCAAGATGGAAAACAAAGAACAGCCACTGGATGCAGGAAAACCAGGAGCAGCTACTACTAAGGAATACAAAGAAATGTTAGAAAACAAGGGAAGGACAGATCACAAGGGAAAGACAGATGAGGAAGTATTAAAGGTTAAGGAAAGGCCAGAAAATGAGACAAAGCCAAAAGAAGGAAACCCAGAGAGCCAAGGAAAGCCAGTGAGTGAGGAAAAAGCAAAAGAAAGAAAAGCAGAGAGTGAGGGGAAGCCAGAGAGTGAAGGAAAGCCAGTGAGTGAGGGAAAACCAAAAGAAGACAAGCCAGCCAGCGAACCAAGGGAACTAAGGGCTGGCGGAAAGCGCCCAGCTGGGGAGGATGTACCCAGGAAGGCCAAAAGAAAAACCAACAAGGGGCTGGCTCAGTGTCTCAAGGAATACAAGGAGGCCATACATGATATGCATTTGAGCAATGAAGAGATGATAAGAGAATTTGATGAGATGGCCAGGGTAGAGGATGAGGTGAAGAAAACCAGACAGAAATTGGGGGGGTTTATGTGGATGCAAAAAAGTTTACAGGACCCCTTCCACCCACGGGGCCCAAGGGAACTCAGGGGTGGCTGTAGGGCCCCACAAAGGGGCTTTGAGGACATTCCTTTTGTGTAGTGCCTCTGGCAGGCATTTCCCAGGCCTTGTGCTTTATTTAACCTTATGCTAATCCTATACTTTAGGTGTCGCTCTCATTATTCAACTGCAGCCCTCTGTGTTTCAGTAGCAGATTTTCATCCATTGCATGGAAAAATGTTTATGGTGCATTGTAAAATTAAAAACAAAAATAGTTTTCAGAACCACATATATGGCATCAGTCCATTTTTGTAAAACTACAAAGATACTTTACTAGTGATCCATGTACAGGAAAAACTGAAAACTGTCTACTAAAAATCAACAGTGGTTATCTGTGGCTGATTTTTTTTTCTGTTTTTTTGTTCATCTGTTTATATTCTCTTAAAACACAGATTACTTTTTATCATAGCAATAATGAAAGATAAAAAATAGGAAAGCAATACCAAGCAATCAAGTATTATTCACTGAAGTGCCTTCTGAAGGCAGTGGAGACACATAAAATTTGTGTTGCCAGGATGTGAACTAAGTAAAAGTCACATTACCTCTGGGACTCAAAGGTGCAAGAATCAACTTGGCAGTTATTACAGATCCATTGTTGTAAGGGAGACTCTTGGCATCAGTGAATTGGGGATAAAACTTGCCTTCCAGGGCTGTGGAGAATATTCAATAAGATGCTGAGTATGTGAGCAGCTTCCCACCCTCTCCCCTGCACTAGCAGGGCCAGAGCCCCATCAGATGTTTTGGAGAGGGCTGAGGCGATTTCAAGTGTGTGCAGGAATAATTCCAGATAGCTGTGAGGGGGGTGGCCCTCTCCAGCTGGGGTAATGTCATGACTTTTGGGCGGTATGCCTCTGCTTGTGGGTACTGTACCCTCCTAAGGCTCCCACTGCTGGGCTGATGGGCTGGAGACCATGATGTGTCTAAAGCAATACCGTGTCACTACTGAAAGGTGGACAATTCTCTATAGTAAAGTTACCCTAATTCACCTGGGTAGCACCCAGTTGTCACTTGGGTCTTGCTATTTATAACGTTCTTATAAAACATACCTTTCCAAGTATTTTGTTGGTTTGTGTGTGTTTCTGCATACAGCCATCTGCACTGGATTTAGACACTGGAGATTGAACCAGGAGAAAAATCTGTGACCAGATGCTATGCTGTTCTCACCTGTTAATCTCATGTCTGCTGACTCTTTTTTCTTAGAAGTTGTCTCCTAGGAAATTCCTGTTAAGCCCTGGCTTATCATTTCAGCAGACCCATCTACCTATGTGATTTTTTTCCCCTCTGGCTCTTCATTAGCCTTTTATTTGCTTATAGTGTTTCTTTAAACTTTTAGGCCAGTTGTATATTTACAGAATTATTACAAAGATGCAGTTTCCATATACCCCATACTTGTTATTAACATCGTTGCTTTTTAGCTTGAAGTGTTTGTCACAATGAACCAATGTTGATACATTATCATTAACCAAGATACTGATACAATTCTTTATTCAGAGTACCTCAGTTTTTCCTTAATGTCTTTTTTCTGTCCCAGGATCCCATCCAGGTTATCATCTTACAATTAGTCATCATGTCTCCTTAGGTTCCTCTTGGCTGTGACAGTTTCTCACACTTTCCCTGTTTCTGATGTCTTGACACTCTTGAGAAGCACTGGTCAGGTACTTTGTATAGTGTACCGCAATTTCAGTTTGCTTGATTTTTCGCTTATGGTTAGAGAGGTGTGTTAAGTGCTTTTTTGGGAAGAGGATCACACAGGCAAAATTGCATCATATAAAGGGTATATACTATCAATATTATCACTGTTGATGTTAATGTTGGTCACCTGGTTGAAGTAGTGGTCTCAGGATTCTACATGGTAAAGTTACTCTTTTATTTCTCCCTTTCTAGACTATACTCTTTGAAAGAAAGTCACTCCGCACAGTCTACACTTAAAAGACTGTGGTGTTATGTTCAATCTCATTGAAGATGAAGTATCTCCAACATTTATTTGGAATTCTGCATATTTGATTTCTCCCTATTTATTTAATATACTTTGGACTATACTACTACTATATATATTTTCATTGCTCAAATTTTTCCACTTTTGGCCATTGGAAGTTCTTTGAGTTGGCTCTTGCATCTATTTAACATACCCCCATCATTGTGTACGTGTGTGTGTGTTTTTATAAAACTTTCTGGCACTACAAAATGGTCTAGTCATATCTTGCATATTTCCTGCCCAAATCCTAGAATCAACCATTTCTCCAAGGGACTCTGGTACCTTTGGTTGGAGAATGGTACTAAAAGCCAAGATTTAGATGTTAAGTGTACACCCTACCATTTGGATATCATTGCTTCTAGGCCCTTTCAGTTGATAAAGAAAGAAGATCTATATGCATCTCTTTCTGTCTATCTCCATATATATATATGTATGTACATTATACATCTTTATATGTTTTAAAATATATAGACAGAAAATTTTGTCTTTCGTCTTAACAGACTCCACTCATTTCCAAAGTTACCTATATCAGTGTCATTCTTCCATCCTTTTCAGTGAGGTTTCATGCATTTGTGATATACTTAAGAGTCTTTTGTCAGATTCTGTGTTGTGGGAATGTTGTTATAAATGCACTTTTAAATATCAAATTCCAGTTGTTTGTTGCTGGTATATAGGAAAGCAATTAAATTTATATATTAACTTATATCCTGTGATCTTGTGACCAGGAGTTTGTCAATGGTTTGGCATTTTCTACATAGACCATCATTTCATCTGCAAATATAGATAGATTTATTTCCTCAGTTCTAATCTGTACACTTTTTATTTCCTTTTTTGCCTTAATGCACTAGCTAGGACTTCCAGTATGATGTTCAATAGGAGCAATGAGAAAGGACATCCTTGTCCTGTTCCTGACACTCCAGGTGAAGTGTCTCCTTTTTCATCACTAAGTATAATGTTAGTTTCTTGTAGTTTTTGTTGTTCAGTCACCATGTAGATATTCTTTATCAAATTGAGGAAGTTCCCCTCTACTCCCAGCTTGAAAGCATTTATCATGAATAGTTGTTGGAGTCTGTCAAATACTTTTTCTGTATTAAATAATATCATATATTTTTTCTTTTTTAGTCTGTTAACATGTAGTGGGTTATATCAATTGATTTTCAAATGTTGAATCAACCTTGAATACCTGGAATAAATTTCAGTTGTTTGGCACATAACTTTTTATACATTATTGGATTCAGTTTTATAATACTTTGTTGAGGATTTGTGTCTGTGTCCATTAGTGATATTGGTCTGTAGTTTTCCTTTCTTGTAGTATCTTTTATCTGGTTTTGGAATTAGGGTAATATTGGTCTCACAGAATGAGTCAGGTGTTCTCTACTTCAGTTTTATGGAAGAGATTGTGGAGAATTGGTATTATTTCTAACTTAAACGTTTGGTAGAATTCACTGGTGATTTCTAAATGTTTACTGGTGATCCTTAAATGTTTGGCAGAATTTGGTCCTAGTGATTTCTATCTTTGGAAGGTTATTAATTATTGATTCAATTTCTTTAATAGATACAGAACTATTCAGGTTATCTTTTTCCTCTTGTGTGAGTTTTAGGAGTTTGTATCTTTTGAGTAATTAGTCCATTTCATCTTAAGTTATCTAATTTGTAGGCAGGCATAGAGTTTCTCATAGTTATTACTTCATTACCTTCTTAATGTCCATGGGATCAGGAGTGATAACCCCACTTTCATTTCTGATATTGTTAATTTGAGTCTTTCTTGTTTTCTTGGTTACCCTCATAAGAGATTTAACAATTTTATCTTTTCAAAGAACCAACTTTTGGTTTTGTTGATTTCCTCTGTTGTTTTCCTGTTTTCACTTTCCTTTGATTTTGTCTCTAGTTATTTCTTTTTTCCTGTTTGCTCTAGGGTTTGATCCCTGGGTTGGGAAGATCCCCTGGAGAAGGGAAAGGCTACCCACTCCGGTATTCTGGCATGGAGAATTCCATGTGGTCGCAGAGTCGGACACGACTGAGTGACATTCACTTTCACTTTCACTAGGCTTAAATTACTCTTCTTTCTTTAGTTTCCTAAGAAGAAAGCATAGCCTTCTTTTCCATATATGTGTTTAAGCTAGAAATTTCCCTTTAAGCATTGCTGTTGCTTTACCCCAGAGATTTTGATATGTTGTATTTTCATTTAGTTCAAAGCATTTTTAAATTTCTGTTGAAAATTCTTCTTTGACTCATGTTATTTAGAAATGTGTTGCTTAATTTCCAAATATTTGGGTTCGCCATCTATCCTGTTATTGATTTCTAGTTTAAGTCTACTGAGAGCATACTTTTATGATTTCTATTCTTTTAAATTTGTTAAGGTGGGTTTTATGGACTCTCTTGAGCTCATGTTCTATATAAGCTTGAATGTTGAATGGAATGTTCTATAAATGTGAATTAAATCAAGTTGATTAATAATGCTGTTCAGATCGACTCTGTGTTAGTCGCTCAGTCGTGTATGACTTTTTGTGATCCCATGGACTGTAGCCTGCCAAGCTCCTCTGTTAGTGAAATTCTCCAGGCAAGAATACTGGAGTAGGCTGCCATTTCCTTCTCTGGCTAGACCCTTATTGATATTCTGCTTGCTTAATCTGTCAATTACTGATTGGGGGCATTAAAGTTTGTAACTATAATAATAGGTTTGTCTGTTTCTCCTTTCAGCTCTATCAGTTTTCGCTTCATATATTTTGACACTTTTGTCATGTACATATACATGTTTAGATTATATGTTTTGCTCAGAATTGATCCCTTTATCATTATATAGTGCCTCTTTTGATCTCTGATAATTTTCCTTGTTCTGCTTTGTCTGAAATTATGTACTCCAGCTTTCTTCTTTTGTCCAGATTTTTTTGACTAGTGCAGATCTTTCTCTGTTGCTTTACTTTTAACTTCTTACTCTTTATCAGGGCTTCCCTAATAGCTCAGTTGGTAAGGAATTCACCTGCAATGCAGGAGACCCCAGTTCGATTCCTGAGTTGGGAAGATCCCCTGTAGAAGGGATAGGCTACCCACTCCAGTATTCTTGGGCTTCCCTTGTGGTTCAGCTGGTTAAGAATCCACCTGTAATGCAGGTAGACCTAGGTTCAATCCCTGGGTTGGGAATATCCCTTGGACAAGGGAAAGGCTATCCACTCCAGTATTCTGGCCTGGAAAATTCCATGGACATATATAGTCCATGGGGTCTCAAAAGAGTTGGACACGACTGAGCAACTTTCACTTTCACTCACTCTTTATATTTAAAGTGGGCTTCTTGTACACAGCATATAGTTGGTTTTTTTAAATTCACTCTGATAGCTTCAATCTTTAATTAATGTATTTAGACCATTCATATTTAAAATGACTCAATATATTTGGATTTAGTATCAACCATGTTTATAACTGTTTTCTATTTGTTGCCAGAGGCTTCTTTTTCTGCCTTCTCTAGTTTATTTTTGCCTGCACCGGGTCTTAGTTATGACATGTGGGATCTTTCAGTTTAGTTGCAGCATGTAGGATCTATATTCCTGATCAAGGATCAAACCCATGCCCCCTGCATTGGGAGTGTGGAGTCTTAGCCACTGGACCACCAGGGAAGTCTGCCTTCCCTAGTTTTAATTAAGTATTTTACATGATTCCACTTGTCTTCTCTCAGTGTATCAATTATATTTCTTTAAAATTTTTCAATGATTTCCCTCAAGTTTACATTTTTAAGAACATTTTCAAATAACATTGTTCTGCCTCACTTGTATGTAGTACAGGTACATTAAGTGTTCATTATTCATTTCACTCATCCATTTCCTGCAATCATTCAATACACTGTTATTTTATTACTTTAGATAAAGAGTTGTGTTTTACATCAACTAAGAATAAGACAAAAGATTTCATTATACTTTCATTCATTGCATTTTCAATGCTCTTCCTTTATGTAGGTCTGCACCATTTTTCTGCTGCCTGAAGAAAATCTTTTACCATTTCCTGAAGGAAAGGTTTGCTGATGCTGAATTCCATCAGTTTTTGTTTGTCTGAGAAAGTCTTTATTTCTCCTCCACATTTGAAGGATTATTTCACTGGGTATAGAATTTTAGGTTAGTGTTTTTTTTTTCCTTTCAACATTTTAAATATTTACAGTTATAGAGATAGGAGTGTTAACACTGAAATGGAAGGTACTTTTTTATTTCTCCTTGTAGTTCTGTCAGATTTAATATTATTTATTTTGAGGTCTGTTTAATAAATGCATAGAAATTTTAAATATCATTAAGTGATGCTTATGTCTTATAATGCTTTTTGCTTTAAAGTCTATTTTGTTATTAATTTAACTATAATGGCTTTCTTTTGCTTAGTGTTTTCATGTTATTTTTTCCCTATGCTTTTACTTTCAGTCTTTATGTATCTTTATATTTCATATATGTCTTTTGTAAATAGTATATAGTTGGGTTTTTCCAGTCCAAAAATCTTTGTTTCTTAATTGTTTCATGTAAACTATTTACATTAATGTACTTACTGCTATTGATATTGGATATAACCATTGTACCACATTCCTTCTCTTATACCCCATCTGGTTTATCTTAGTTTTTTCTTCCTTAGGATTGATTATTTTCTTATTTTTGCCCCTCTATTAGCTTCGAAGTTTTACTCTCTTACTCTTCCTTAATAGTTATCTGGTAATTATAGCATACAGTCTTGACTTACTAAAGGCTAACATTAATTTATACTTATACATACTCTTTAGATAATGCCAGAACATTAAATACTTTTACTTTAGTCCTCTTGACTCCTGTGTTGTCAGTATAAATTAACAAGATAATATTATTTTATGCAGTATTGATTTATAGATAGATATTTAACCTTTTAATTGCTTTCTTTTCCTTCCTTCATCCCCAGTCTTCCATCTGAGATCATTTTCCTGTTATCTGAAGAATGCCCCATAGAATTGAGTATTTCCTTTGGTTTCTGACTGCTGTTAGAAACTCTTTGTTTTGGTTTATTTATAAAGCTTTTATTTTGCCTTCATTTTTGAAAGGTATTTTTGCTGGTTATTTTCTTGGTTGGCATTTACTTTCTTTCAAGATACTAAAGATGTCACTTTACCATCTTCATGCTTTCATCATTGCCATTGAAAAGCCAGTAATTAGCCTAAGTTTTGTTCTTTTGAGGCATACTCTATCTTTTTGGCTATTTTTATGATTTTTTCTTTGTCTTGAATTATCTGTAAATTCACTATTATGTATTCTATGCATGGGCTTCTTTTTATTTATCCTGTTTGGGATTTGTTAGACTTCTTAGATCTATGGATCAATGTCTTTCATCAGTTTTGAAAAATCCTCAGCCATTAAATCTTCAGAGATTGCCTCTGAACAGTTCCATTTCTCTTTTCCTTTTCGAATTCCAATTGAACATGTATTAGACCTTATCCTACCATCCTGTCTGTATTTTCCATCTTTTTGACCACCTGTGCAGCCTTACAGATAATTTCATCTGAATATAATTTCTAGTTATTTAATTCTCTCGAGTTGCATCTAATCTGCTGTTAAAGCCATCCACTGAGTTTCTAATTTCAGCTTTGTTATTTTTCAGTTTTGGAGTTTTCTTTTTTTCTCTACTTTTTTTTGGTTTTCTGGTTCCCTGTTGAAATTTTCAAGATTGGATTTTATTTATCTGAATACACTGAGCATCATGGTTTTGTTGTTCAGTCACTCAGTCATGTCTAACTCTTTGAAACCCTATGGACTGCAGCATGCCAGGCTTTCCTGCCCTTTACTATCTCCCAGAGTTTACTCAAACTCATGTCCATTGAGTTGATGATGCCAAGCACTGTGGTTTGGTAGTCTGTATCTGATAATTTGAATAATTCAAAACTAATGGATCTGCTTGTGTTGTCTATTGCCTGTGGTGCTTTTTATCTATGATGTCTCTTTTCTTTGTTTTTCTGGTTATCTTTGTGTATGGGCATTGTACTTAAATAGCTGTTTGTTGGAATAATTTGAGGCTGAGGTGATGGAATCTTTCTCCAAAGAAGATTTTGTTTGCACTGGTTAGGCCCATAAGGACACTTCCTGTCTAAAACCACCATAATCTATATTCAAAAATTAAACTTTACCTAGCCCACCTAGATGTTGCAAAGCCAAGCTAAAAGACTTTGTGAGGGCTAGTTTATTTCCAGTTTATAATTACCCTTAAAGTGAAACATTTGAAGTTCCTAGGAAACTCCTTCCCTTTTAATAAGACTTGGGCTTTGAGTTTTGTTATTCTAGTTCTTTGAGTCTTCTAAAGCTTCAACTCACTTAACACTGGTTTATTCCTTAACTTTTACTTCTTAACCATAGATGCCCTTAAGACAAATACAGTTAACCATATGAGTACTAAAAGAAAATGAGGAATTCCTCTTTGACCTCATGTAGAAAAAGAGCTTTTAACTATGAGTCAAAAATCTAGATGCAATAAAAGACAAATGTGATAAATGTGACTACTTTTTTTTTAATGCATGGCAGAAATACATCATAAAAAAGTCGAAAAGCAACTAATAAGTTGTAAGTAAATATTTGCAAATTTTATAACAGATAGAGGCCTAATATAATGTATAAAGAACACTTGACAAGTTTGAAGGAGCAATAACCCAATAGAAGAATGTAGAAAAGGAACTTCCCTGGAGGTTCAGTGGCTAAGACTCCATGTTCCGAATGCAGGGGGCCCAGGTTTGATCCCTGTTCAGGGAACTAGATCCCACACGCCACAACTAAGACATGGTGCAGCCAAATGAATAAAAATAAATATTTTTTTTTTTAAAAAAGAAAAAGATGTGGAAAAGACATGAACAGACAATTCACAATGATATTTAATTTGCTATTAAACAGAAATGCAAAGTAAAATGCCATGGATATACTACTACTCATTTATCATATCAGTGAAAATTAAAAACTATGTCACATTATGTTGAAAACTGGGGAAATAAACACTCACCTATATTTTTGGTGGGAAAGCAAAAATGAGTCGAGATTCAGGGGAGGGAAGAGCTACTGAACTGAACTGAACTGATTTACAGGAAAACAGACAGAGTCAGGGAGAGAGAACACATGGACTGAGAAGAGCTGAGGCTCAGGACACAGCTACACAAGGTGGCAGCGCAGCTCCCTGGTGGAACCAGCACCAGGGCTCTAGAGTCAGGAGGAGCTAGTCTTGAAAGCGGGCTGTGGGGCTATGTGGCGCTCTAGGCAAAATCTGGTACCTTCCCTGTGATCAGCTGCCACAACTGGGGATAATGGGCATCTCAGAGGGATGCTGAGGGAGGACCCGAGATGCTCCAGGTAAAGCACCTGCAGACAGGAAGCCTCTCCACTCCTGCTTTATCGGTAATGCCTCCTTCTCCAACCACCACCCCTGCCAGCCCTCACCTTCCAGAGCCCCTCTGGGCTGGGGGCGAGGGAGTGGGGTGGGGGACCTGGCTCGGGTGATGCGACGCTCACATGACTAGCTGAGTGCCAATGTGGGGAGCAGCCCCCATGCTCGCCCTGCCCGCACAGAACCAGTTCCCAGAGCTGCCCGGGTGAAGAGCAAAAGGGCTTAGGCAAGCCCAAGGAGGCACAGACCTGGCCCGGGCCCCACAGGTCAGTGTGAAAGTGGCCACTGCTGGCGTCCTGGTCAGGGGTGGAAGCTGATGGGACTAGGATCCAGGAGCAGTGGGGAGAGACGGGGAGGGAGGAGGGGGTCCCGAGATGAATGAGGAGAATGGTGAGGCGCAACATGGGCAGGTGGCCCCATCTCCTCCTCGACGGCCCTCCTCTGTGCCCTCCACCCATTTTTGAGCCTGAAATTGTGTGTGTGGGGGGGGTGTCCCTGCAGTGTGATGGTGAAACGTAGACAAATTCTGAAAATAATTCCTTTTCACACTCTGAGCCCAGGAGGAAAGAACTGACCTCACGTAAAGGGGTGGAGAGGCAGAGGGTTGCTTGCGCACGAGGAAGACACAGAGATCCAAAATAGTTTGGAAAGCATCCTGGTCTGGTGCCCGAGGCCTGAAAAGTAATGGTGGCTGGGATGCAGGAGAGGTAGGGGAAAAATTGTAGGATGAGGAGGGCCCGGATTCAGGAAAGGGACCCCAGTCCATGGACTGTGCAGTCCCTCTCCGTCTCCTGTCTGTCTGCAGGTCTGCATGTCTGTTCCCAACACTGCAAGACTAGAAAAGGAGGAGGAACCTGGCCAGAATCCCTGCAGGTCAGTGAAAAAGGGGAGGACACTGGACAGGCATGGGGCTGGGGGCACAGCTTGGGTAGCATTTGAGGGCCCCACTTCCCATCCCCCCACCAGATATAATATACACCCTCCCCGCCATGCTAAAGTATGGTACAAGGTGGCAGGGCCTTCCAGGGAATGGTTGGCTCTCAGTGCAGGAGGAATGGTGGGGTAAAGGGTAGGCAGAAGGCAAACTAGGCCGGGCCAGGTCAGGGGACCCCCTGACACGGGTGAGATGCCAGTGCTGTCCAGACCCGTCTGCCACCCAAGCCCTCAGTCTCCCTTGTCTTCTCTTTGTCTCTTCTCCCCTCACCACCACCCTTATCTCCCAGGACAGGAAAAGGAGGGGACATCTCAACATGGAAAAACTGCAATGAAATGAAGGAAAGTTGGAAAGTGAGGGAAAGCCAGAAGATGAAGTAGAGCCTGAAAATGGAGGAAAATCAGATGAGAAAGAAAAGCCGGAAGTGGAGGGGAAAGTCAGAACAGGAGTGAGGGCTCCAGAATGAGGGACAGTCAGACGATGAGAGACAAACCACAAATGAGGGACAACCAGCAGATGAGGGGAAGAAAGAAAAGCAAGGCAAGTTCGAAGCTGAGGGAAACCCACTCAAGAAGGTCAAGCCAGAGTCCCAGGCAAAGTCAGAGAGCCAGTCATGTGCTGCTGAAAAGCGCCCTGATGAAGATTATGTGCCCCAGAAGGCAAAAAGAAAAACGGACAGGATGATGGAGGATTTCCCCAAGGACTATCAGGACAACTTACAGGAAAGGCATCTGGGAGGTGAGGAGATGCTGAAACAATGTGGAGATCTGTCAAGGGCTCAGCTTGAAGAGCTAAGGAAAAGACAGAAAATGGGTGGATTTCATTGGATACAAAGAGATGTACAGGATCCATTCACCCCAAGGGGGCAACAAGGTGTCAAGGGAATGAGGGGAGGAAGGAGGAGCCAAAGGGGCTTACATGATATCCCATATTTTTAATGCCTTGGTATTTGATTCTGGTTTCTTTGATGAGAATATCACTGACCCTGCTTTCCCTGGCAGTCACTTGCCAGGCTATGTGCTTTATCCTCAAGCTGATACTTTGCTTTAGGTGTCACTGTCCTTACCAGCAGCCATTTGATCCAACTACAGTGCTCTATGTTTCAGTAGGGGGTTTTCACCCATGTTCATGAAAGAGATGTTCATGGTACACTGTAAAAAGAACAATAAAAAAACATTTTTCAGAACCAAATGTATAGTATCAAACCAGTTTTGTAAAAGGGCTTCCCTGGTGGCTCAGACTGTAAAGAATTCGCCTGCAATGCAAGAGACCTAGGTTTGATCCCTAGGTCTGGAAGATCCCCTGAAGGAGGAAATGGCCACCCACTCCAGTATTCTTGCCTGGGAAATCCCATGGACAGAGAAGCCTGGTAGGCTACAGTCCATGGGATCGCAAAGAGTCAGACATGACTGAGTGACTAACACTTCACTTTGTAAAAGTAGCAAATGTTTGCATAATGCATTTGTGCACAGAAGAAAACCATGAAAACTAAAAACTAGGTGATAGTTTTTTCCTACATTGTAGCCAGAAAATAGGTCTTGCTTGTACTCAAAGATGAGTCCAATCATTAGATGGTACCTCCATGTCATTCCTCCACAGGTATGTCCAGCCCCATGTCTTCCCTTAGTTGTAACCATGTCAGTGGGCACTGCCAACCCTTCTCCTAGGTCCTGTACCATCCTATGGCTCCCAACATGTGTGATTCTTTTTCTTGTCTTTGCTCACTCATCTCTGCTTTTTCTTAAATGATGTTTGTCATAATAAAAAAATTCCTAGAAATCAATACATGATAAAAAAATTGAAATGTTCAGTGAGCTTATGAGGGCAATGAAGATTCCTGTTGTCAGACTGTAAAATGATAAGTAAAACATTACATCTAGGACTCATAGCTAAAGGAATCAACCTGAGAGTTACAACAAATCCAGTGCTCTAAAGGTCAGTCTTGTCATCTGTGAAATGGGAATAAGCCTCACAATCTGCTGAGTGGATCAGATGAGGTACTGAATATGTTAGCTGTGTTGGGAAAGCTACTTTGTAGCGGTAGGACTCTGAACCTTGTCAGACACTCAGGAGACAGCTGAGGGTAGGTCTCACCTATACATAGGAACAAGTCTAAGCAGCTGAGAGGAGACTGCCCCTCTTCTCTGGATACTACCATAGCTGCTGGGCATTCCTGCTCTGCTGGGCCCTGTACTCTCTGCTGACAGCTATTGATATGAGGGAGTCCTTATAGTGACAAAGCCCCTCTGGTTCCCTTTAGTCCCCAAACGGTCAAAGCCCCTATTTGACTTCTATAGGTATGTGGGTAAACGCCCTCTCCCAACTTCAGAGTTGTATCTACCCTGGTGGCACTGCCCCAGGGCAGTTTGGGCTCCATTATATTACATATTTCTTAGCAACATAGTTATTAACATTTTAGTTCATTTTATATTTGCTTATAGTAGTTTCTTATCTCTTACAGGACTCATATATTTTGGGTCCCCTGGGGATTGTATCCTGAGACACATCTATGGATAAAACAGTTGATAATTATTTGAACTACACACCACAGTACCTCAGGGAAGCCATATCTAAATTTATATACCATTCTTAGTGTGAGTTTTCTCTCTAAAAATTCTCCTGGTTGGTTTCCTTCACAAATTCAAAGGACTTGTCCACACATACTCAGAGAGGGTTACACAACTAAGTTTCAAACGGAAAATATCCCTTCCCATTCCAGACCAATTCCAACTAAAAACTGTAACAGTGCTCTTAAAAATATTAAAAACTCTTAATGTTAGGGATTTTAATTTAACCCACTAGTATGTCGCTTTTTCAAAATGAGGACTTTCTTATTCACATATGTTTAATAAATTATGTGAGACATATACTTAATTAATTATGATTGAATCAGAAGCCCTGAGTTAAAAAAAGATACCCTATTCATGGATTAGAAGACTTGATAGTGTTAATATGGTAATTCTCTCCAAAAGTTATCTATAAATATCTATAATATATGGAAAAGCAAAGGACACTGGATAACCAAAATATTTTGAAAATGAAGAACACAGTTGAAGGACTTGTTGCCTGATTTCAGGGCTAACTAAAACTACAGTAATCAAGACTATGTAGTATGGCATAAGGATAGACATATAGATTGATGGAATAAGACACAGTCCAAAAGTAGACCCACATGTATATCATCAATTCATGTTTTAAAAAGGACCCACAGAAAAAAAAAGGACCCACAGGAATTCAGTGGAGAAAGACTTTTCAACAAATGATACTGGAACAACTAACTGTATGTCATCTTGGTCAGTTTGGACTGCTGTAACAAAAATACCACAGGCAGGAATTTTTCATAGTTCTGGAGTGTGGACCCATGATCAAGATGCTGGCAGATTTGGTATCTAGTAGGGGTCAGATTCCTGGTTCATAACCAGATATCTTCACATGACAGAAGGGGCAAGGGAACTTTCTGGAGTCATTTTTATAATGAAACTAATTCTTCATGAGGGCTCCACTTGCATGGCTTAATTGCCAAAGACCCTGCTTCCAAATACCATCCAACTGGATAAATTTTGTAGTTACACAAACATTCAGTCTATAGCAGACATCAATATACAAAAAAAGTACCCTTACCTCACACCATATACAAAACATGAATTAAAAATGGCTCACAGAACAAAAATGTAAAACCCCAAATTATAAAAACTTTATTTAGAGAATTCCTGGGTGATCCCAGTGGTTAGGATTCTGAGCTCTCACTGCCAAGGGCCTGGCTTCAATCCCTGGTCAGGGAACTAAAATCCCATAAAAAAACCAAAATAAAATAAAAATTAAAATTTCATTTAAAGATAGGAACAATATGGAATACTTTGTTGTTTCAGAGTAAACTATTATTGTTTATTAATTCTGAAGCAGTTTAAAGATTTTTTATTATAATTTTTTATTTTAGGCTGCACTGGGTCTTCATTGCTGCTTGGGCTTTTTTCTAGTTGCGGTGAGTGAAGGCTAAGCTACTCTTTGTTGCAGTGCACAGGCTTCTTATTGTGGTGGCTTCTCTTGTTGCTGAGCACAGGGTCTAGGGCACTCGGGCTTCAGTAGTTGCGGTATGTGAGTTCTAGAGCACAGGCTTAATAGTTGAGGTGCACAGGTTTAGTTGCTCCACAGCATGTGGGATCTTCCCGAACCAGGGATTGAACTTGTGTTTCCTGCATTGGCAGGCGGATTCTTTACCACTGAGCCACCAGGGAAGCCCAGTTCAAAGATTTTTGAAATGAATTTTCTGCCACTATCTTCTTCATAAGTTCCAGAGGTTTCTTCTACTAAGAAATGGGAAAGGCAAATGCTAATTATAAAATATTACATGTGGACAATAAAATTTAAGATATCATTAGAAAAATAGGGAAAAGGATAATCCTGGATTAGCATATGACATGAATTTGTGCCATATGACAATTTAAGATAATAACTGGACAATGAGGGTATTGACAAATTTCTGTGAAGTTCAAACAAGTCTAGAATATCTATATTAGTAACATATATCCATACATATATAACCTAAGAAAGCATAATATTTCTTATTTGACAATGTTTACCATGTAATTTAACATACCAAAAAAACCTCTTATTGTTTTAACATGTCTTTTACAAAGTGAGAGACAATATTTTTTGAGATTTTCTAAGGACCCTCTGGGAAATTTCAAAACCAGTTTGAGGTCAAAAAGATTCCATTTAGATTTTGATTTTGGGAAGCTGCCAAAAATGTCAAAAAGTTTGAACATTTGATTAAACAGGATCACAAGTCAATATGAAACAATACTTATCTATTTAACCAAAGGGACAATCAAAAATTTTTTAAGGTAAATACAGAAGGTTACAAAACTGAATGAAAATATAGCTCTTTTCACATTGAGAAGACTCAGTTCTCCTACATAATCAAAGACCTGATAAAGACAACATGAAACACAAAAAATTCTTTGGTAAGACAAAATCTTTGCTTTCCAGGCAGATTACCCAAAAGGTAAAGAAAAACATTTCACAATCTCTTATCAAGAGAAGACCAATAGTCCAAAAGACTTTTTCTTTTTAACGGAGAGAAAGCCAAACTAATTTTGCACTATTGTACTCCTCCCTCCCTCCCTCCCTTTCTCCCTGCCTCCCTCCCTCCCTCCCTTCCTTCCTTCCCTTTCTTTTTTTCTTGCCATACCTCTAAGCAAGCTAGATCTCACTTCCCTGACCATGGATCAAATCCTTTCCCCCTGCAGCAGAAGCATGGAGTCTTAACCACTGGACTGCCAGGAAAGTCCTTGTACCATTGTACTTTTGATGTTAAAGCTCGTTCTTTAAAAAACTTATAAATAAATCCATCCTAATCTTAGCCAGCTTGACAACACATAAAATTCCTTTCCCAAGATTCTGTTTACTGAAACTTTCTACCCACTCAGCCACTCAGGTTTTCTTCCTGTATTTTCCTCTTCCTCATTCTAGAATACCCAGTCATTTGATTTTAGAACAAAATTACTCCTTTTCCCTTAACAAAAACATGTCTTTCATACTTCTTATCCAAAACACACATTCTACTTTTTTTTTACCTACTTTTCATACACAGTTGTTTCCTTTTACCCTTATTGTTTCTAGTATTTTTAATTACACATATAGATTAGCATTCTTAACCCTTAGAAACCTTAATTTCTAGAGAAACTAAAAAGTAAACAATTGAGGACTGCCTGTTATTTAAACATTCTATGATTGGCAAATTTATAAATATATTTCATAATTTCTAAAAGCATATTCTTCCTGACAGTGAATTTTCCAATACTGCACAACACATGTTTGCTGATACATCCAAATATCTTCAGTTCCTTTATAAGAAGATGCCAAAGTAGATAAACCTATGTTCAGTAGTCTGTTTCACTATTTTATTTTATCTGAAAATGATCTAGATATTCAATGC